TGAGTTCAGGCAGTCTACCAGCTTTGGTCTTCTGGACTGCTAGAATTACAGGCCATTCCCGTGGTTCTTAACCCCCTGATGTCTAGACTTAAGAATTTCTCAGCTGTTCCCCATCTGGTGTGTTAAGAGTGGTGGTCTTGGGTTTAGACCCCATCTCTCACAAAGCTTTTTCTCTGAGGCTGTTTTCCCTTCCTCTGCCCAAAGTTCCCTTTCTCCAGTCTCTTTTTGGGACAGCTTAGTGTAATCTTCCTTAATGTGCTCCTATAAACACAGTTATAGCCGCTATTTTCTAGGTGGGTGTGGGAGAAACCACTCAGATGGTGATGTGGTTGTGGTTTTTCTTTTTTTAAGTGACCTCCCCTGGTTTGGTGAGTTATAATACTTATTGGCGGTTTTGACTAATGCATTTTTCATGCCATTTTTGAATGCTTCCAGAACATCCCACTGCGTAGATGTGCATTATTTACTTGGAGACAACATGAAACAAGCAGCTCTGTGCATAAAATTTTTGCTATCTTCTGAAGGTGGAATTACTGAGTCAAAGCGCATAACTTTTTAATGCCGTTTCCAGATCACACTTTATTGGTGTTCTCTCACTGTATACTACGCATTTAGCAGCTTAAAATAACATCCATTTACGAGCTCACAGTTCTGTAGGTCAGAAGTCCAGGCACTGCATGGCTGATTGAGCATCTTGGAGGCTGAAATCAGGGTGTCAGCCAGCTGTGTTTGCATCTGGAGACTTTACTTAGGAAGAATCTACTTCCAGTGGGTTCATTCAGGCTGTTGGCAAAATTCAGTTCCTCAGGGTTTTAGGGCAGAGATCTCTGTTTTCTTAATGGTTGTTATTTAGAGATTACTGTCAACTCCCAGAGGCCACGCTCAGGTCCTTGGTATGTGGTCCCCTCCATCTTTACAGCCTGCAATGGAGAATCTTTTTCGTGTTGAATCTTTCAACTTTTTAGTCTCTAAGTTCCTGTCTCTGACCTCTGGACCTAGATTTGTAGGGTCAATGAGATTAGGGCTCTCCATCCTTCCTACTCCTGAACTTTTCATCATCCCACATAGAAGATGACTTCTAGAACAATAGAACAATAACTCTCTGTCCTCTACTCCCCTTTGCCCCTGGAAACCTCTAGCCTACTTTCTGCTTCTATGAATTGCCTATTTTAGGTGGAATCATCCACAATTTGTCCTTTTGTGTCTGGTGTGCTTGGCATCATGTTTCCCACTTTCGTCCATGATCAGAATTTCCTAGATCAGAATTTCCTTCCCTCTTAGGCTGGATAATATCCCATTGTAGGCCTGTACTACCTTTTGTTTATCCATTCATCCATCAGGGGACCCTTGGGTTGTTTCAGATCTATGAGATCAGCTGATTTGGGATCTTAATTACATCTATCAAATCCTTTCATAGCAGTACCTAGATTAGTGTTTGATTAGTGTTGAGTAGCAGGGAGAAGGTGTGACTACACTGAGGGCCCAGAATGTTGGTGGCCATCTTGAGGTTGTGCCTCCCACATACCCTCCTGAAAGGTTACGCTGAACTTGCTGGAGGAACCCTCTTGCTCCCTTTCATATCATTAATCAATAAGTTGCATAGAGGAGTTCTGGAAATGGCATCTCATTTCACTGCCTGCTTTTCCAGCAGGGGTTTTGTCTGCTCACGACTCCAACTGCGATGGAGGATGCATGTTAATCACTTTTCAACCACCGGTGAGAGTACCGTGGTGTCTTGTCGCCAGTATCACCTGTCACTTGTTTTTGAGGTGGACAAGCCTGAAAAGCCTATTAAATAAGGTCAGCGAAGGTGAGGGAAAGAATTTCTGCTTACCATTTGTGGTTTGTGATTTTGGCAGAAAGTACAAAATGGATTCTGTCTTGATACTCCCTTAGAAAGAACTTGGAGCATTCGGCCACCAAACAGTGGCACAGACTGTCTCATGCTAATGCCATGAGAACGCAGCAGTATTTGAACTTGTCCAAGTAGAAGAATTTAGGGCTGTAATTGCCATGCCAGGTTACAGCCTTGTTCTTTGGCCTGGATGCAGATTCTTTGGACTCAGTGCTGTCTTTTTTGGGAACTAGACACTAGATCCTGAAATGGTGATTCTCCCTAGGAAATGGAAGACCTGGAAAATGGAAACCAGCCACGTGTGCTAGAAACTTCAGAATGAATGTGAACAGGGTGTCTTTTTTTTTTTTTTTTGAGACAGAGCCTCAAGCTATCCCCCTGGGTAGAGTGACGTGGCGTCACGCTCACAGCAACCTCCAACTCCTGGGCTCAAGCGAGTCTCCTGCCTCAGCCTCCCAAGTAGCTGGAACTACAGGCGCCCGCCACAGCGCCTGGCCATTTTTTGGTTGCAGCCATCATTGTTGTTTGGCGGGCCCGGGCTGGGGATTCGAACCCGCCACCTTAGGTGTATGTGGCTGGCGCCTTAGCTGCTTGAGCCACGGGCGCCGAGCCAACAGGGCGTCTTAATAACAGGCATATGACCTTGGATTCAGCGGGGATGGTGTTTGAATATTGCAGCTGCCAGATGGCTTGAGGAGGAGTCTGTACCCTTTGGAAAAGCATGTGTATCTTGTATGTGTGTGTTGAAGGATGTCCCAGGTTAGGTTTCACTTGGAGGAGGCTTTTTGTGCATGGTAGCTGCTATTTTCTCTGAACTAGTCAGACTCCTCAAGGCCTCCAGGACTTCTGTCTCCTCAATTTAGGATGTGCCAGCCTGGCTATGTGTAGTCCTGGTGTAGGGGGTAAAGATAGCAACTGCCCTGTCATCAGAAATGAATGTGTACTTGTACTTGGAGGCTAAAGTGGGAGGATTGATTGAGACCAGGAGTTTGAGACCAGTCTTGGCAATGTAGTAAGACCCTGTCTCTTTAAAAAAAAAAAAAGAATATGAGTTTTTTGGGGGTTTTTTGAGTCAGAGTCGTACTATATCACCCTCGGTAGAGTGCTGTGGTGTCACAGCTCACAGCAATCGCAAATTCTTGGGCTTAAACAATTCTCTTGCCTTAGCCTCCCAACTAGCTGGGACTACAGACACCCCGCCAGAACGCTTGGCTATTTTTTTGTTGTAGTTGTCGTTGTTTAGCCAGCCTGGGCCGGGTCTGCCAGCCTTGGTATATGTAGCTGGTGCTGTAACCACTGAGCTCTCGATGCCAAGCCTGAGTATGAGATTTGTATGGTAACTAAAAGGGATACAAGTAACCATTATAGGTGGGGCAGTGGCTCATACCAGTAGTTCCAACATATTGGGAGGCTGGGGCCCAAGGATCAGAGGATTGCTTGAGGTTGGGAGTTTCAGATCAGCCTGGGCAACATAGCAAGATCCCAACTCTAAAAAAAAAAAAGTGACCTATGTGTGGTGACACAACAGCTGTACAACCCAGCTACTTGGGAGACTGAGGTGGGAGGATTGCTTAAGCCCAGGAGAGGTTATGGTGAGCAATGATCATGCCACTCACTGCACATAGCTCTCTTTTTTTTTTTTTTTTTTTTTGAGACAGAGCCTCAAGCTGTCCCCCTGGGTACAGTGCCGTGGCATTATAGCTCACAGCAACCTCCAACTCCTGGGCTCAAGTGAGTCTCTTGCCTCCGCCTCCCAAGTAGCTGGGACCACAGGCGCCCGCCACAGCACCCAGCTATTTTTTGGTTGCAGCCGTCATTGTTGTTTGGCGAGTCCGGGCTGGGGATTTGAACCTGCCACCTTAGGTGTACATGGCTGGCACCTTAGCTGGTTGAGCTATAGGCGCCGAGCCACATAGCTCTCTTAAAATAACACACAGAACAGTTTTCACTGCAGAGAATTAATGATACTTGGTAGTTGGGGGCTACATGAGGAATGAGAAGAGGATGAGCCAAAGGGACTCCTGTCTTCTGTACCCTGAGCTGGGTTTGCTGGCAGGACTGAATCTGTGTTCTCTCTTACAGGCAACTGCAATGTCCGTGGACTGTCTGGGGCAGCACGCAGTGCTTTCTGGGTAAGTGAGCTTTCAGAGTTTGTTTGCTACAATTTCTGGGGAACAAATTGGATGTAGGAGGATTTCGGGAATTTGGAAAATATATTTAAGGATTATGATCATAGGGTTTAGTTCTGATATTCTAGTGACCTCAGAGGTACTTGTGGGGATTATTTGCAATTTATTTTGTCTGCCCTAACAGGTAAACAGTAAAATTCTTCTGAAATTTTAGTGACTGGTAGCTTGGCCTGGTACACTTGATTTATCCATCTAGACATTATACATTGACTTCTTACAATAGAAAAAGAGGATTTGGCTGGGTGAGGTGGCTCATGCCAGTAATCCAAGCACTCTGGAAAGCTGAGATGGGAGGATTGACTGAGGTCAGGAGTTCCAGACCCGCTTGAGAAAAGTGAGACCCCTATCTCTACTAAAAATAGAAAATTTGGCCTGGCGTTGTGGCAGGTGCCTGTAGTCCCACCTACTTGGGAGTCTCAGGCAGGAGGATTGCTTGAGCCTAGAAGATTGAGGTTGCTGTGAGCTAGGCTGAGGCCATGGCACTCTAGTTGGGCAACACAGGGAGACTTTGTCTCAAAAAAGAAAAAGAAAGAATTTGAGGTTTTGGCACTTTTCATTTGCTCTGTGGGTCCTTAACACATGTACCTGACCATCCCCCTCCTTCCAGTATGGTTATATACCAATTGTTGAGTTGAATCGATATTTGGGGTTACTGTTGAGAGATCCTAAACTCTTTGTATATGCTCTATTTTTCTCTTTGGAAGCTTTAAAACCTTACCTTTATGTGTGTGAAATTTTCATCATGATTGCGTTTGGTATGTGCCTTTTTTCATGCATTGTGCTGGGTACTCAGGGTACCATTGTTTTGTTTTTTTTGAGATGGAGTCTCACTTTGTCACCCTTGGTAGAGTGCTGTGGCATCATAGTTCACAGCAACCTTAAACTCCTGGGCTTAAGTGATTCTCTTGCCTCAGCCTCCCAAGTAGCCAGGACTACAGATGCTCACCACAACACCTGGCTATTTTTAGAGATGAGGTCTCGCTCTGTCTCGGGCTGGTGTAGATCCTGTGAATTTAGGCAATCCGCCTGCCTCAGCCTCCCAAATGCTGGGATTATGGGCATGAGCCACCATACCCAGCAGAGCAACCTTGTTTTTTTTACATGATTGTTTTATTTAAACAAATAGAGATATAACATACACTCGACATCATGTAGCTATTAATGACCCTAACATATACTCTAAGGTGCCCTGGAGTAACTATTGCTCAAATGTTAGATTTCATAGCATTCACTGATGTGATGGTCATTCTTAGCATTCTTGGAGAGGATGAAATGTAACTGGAAATCACGTGTGTGTTCCAGTTTTATCACATTCTTAGATAAGTACACATCAATATCCTTTCTCTTTCTTTTTTTTTTTTTGAGACAGAGTCTCACTTTGTCACCCTCAGTAGAGTGCTATGGTGTCATAGCTCATAGCAACCTCATCTCAGGGCTTAAGCGATTCTCTTGCCTCAGCCTCTCATGTAGCTGGGACTACAGACGCCTGCCACAATGCCCAGCTGTATATTTTGTTGTTGTTATTGCAGTTGTCATTGTTGTTTTAGCTGGCCTGGGCAGGGTTCGAACCTGCCAGCCTCAGTGTATGTGGCCAGTGCCCTACGAACTGAGCTATAGGTGCCACCCATCAGTATTTTTTTCCAACATGACCTTGAAACTGTCCATTTCATTTTCTTACATTGCATTTTAAAATGCATTAGTAAAGGATATAGAATATACTAACCTTAAGTTAGCAGCTTAAACAAATTTACAAACATACCATCCTGAGCAAGTGTGAGACCCAGTGTCTATAAACGGTGGGACATTGTAGCAGGCACCTATAATCCCAGCTACTTGGGAGGCTGAGGCAAGAGGATTGCTTGAGCCCAAGAGTTTGAGGTGCTATAAGTTATGATGCCATGGCACTCTACTGAAGGTGACAGAATCAGACTCTGTCTCAAAAAAAAAATAATTTACAAACATATAAACACCCCATTCTCCACAAAAAGTTAAAACAAAAAATTGATTACATGATTAGATTATTCAGATTAAGATGAAAAATTTTTAGCACCTTGGAAGGCCCTTCAATTGTGAAATCTGTATCTTTCAGTTTGGAGAATTTTTCCTATGTTATATCTTTGATCATTTCCCCCCTCCCCGCCTTTTCTCTTTTCATTCTTCATTTCTGGAATTCCTCTTAGTCAATGTTGAATATGGCTTCTCTTCTAGCCTTTTTGTCTTTTTGTTTTGCATTCTAGGAGTTTTCAACTTTAACCTTGAACCCTTCTGTCAAATTTATTGAACTTTCAACTATTGCATGCATTTTAATTTTCAAAAAATTTCAACTATTACTTTATTTTAATTTATTTGTTGCTTTTGATGTAGGGTCTTGTTTTGTCAGCAAAGAGTGGAGTGCGGTGGCACGATCATAGCTCACTGTAACCCTGAACTCCTAGGTTCAAGTGATCCTCCTGCCTCAGCTTCCTGAGTAGCTGAGACCACCAGGCCCAGCTATTTTTTATTTAGCTTGTTGCCCTTGGGAGAGTGCTGTGGCATCATAGTTCACAGCAACCTTAAACTCTTGGGCTCAAGTGATTCTCTTATCTCAGTCTCTCGAGTAGCTGGGACTACAGGCGCCCACCATAATGCCCGACTATTTTTTAGAGACAGGGTCTTTCACTTGTTCAGGCTGGTCTCGAACCTGTGAGCTCGCACAATCCACCTGTCTCAGCCTCCCAGAGTGCTAGGATTACAGGTGTGAGCCATGGCATCAGGCCCCAGCTAATTTTTTTGTCTTAATTTTTTGTAGAGATGGGATCTTGCTGTGTTGCCCAGGCTACTCTCTAACTCCTGGTCTTAAAGTCTTCTCCTGCCTCAGCCTCCCAAAGTGCTGGGATTACAGTCTAAGACAAGCCCCAACTATTATTTTAATGTTTTCTGTTCTTTACATTGTCTTTTATCTCTCTGAGAATATTGATGACAAGGTGTTTTTTTTCCTCTTTGCATTATTCCTGGGTTTTTGTGTTTTTTTCTTTTCTTTAATTTTTGAGTTCTTTTTTTCCTCCTTGGATTGTGCTGGTCGCTGTCTTTCCGGTTTCCTTCAATGGCTGAGGTTACTGGCTGTTAATATTAGAGAGTGATTGGCAGCCTTGAGAGTGCTGAGTAGGGGGAAGAGACCCAAAGGCCTCACTCTCACCTCTGGACTAGTATCACCAGGGCACTTCCCACTTCTCAGAGCTTCTGTGGGGAAGCACCACCCTCCACTGGGTGAAGGGGGTGCAGGAGAGGCCTCACCTGGCCTTGTGGGCTGCACACAGACCACTCTCCTAGTGCTCTTTCAAACAATTCTCCTTATTTTGTTCTGCTCTGCTCTTTGCCGTCCAGCCCTTGCCCCTTACTCTTTTCTTGAGATTAAAGCCTCCAGTTGCTGAGCGGGGCCAGGCCCTGCAGTGGGAACCAGCTGGCCTCTCATCCTCCTCCCCCTGCAGGTGCTTGCACTTTGTTCGGCTTTCTTTACTCTAAGTCAATTACCATTTGTCCATCTGCTTTTCATTTCCTCTCTCTTTGTCCTTGTGGGCTTTTGTATTTTTTGTGTGTGGGGGGGTAGGTTTACTGGAGGGAATGAAGATAAACATGTATGTTCGATCAGGCACGTTCACCCCCAGATGCCTCCTTTCTGCTGTTGTTGTATTTGCTCTGTAAGGTCTCCAGACTTTTCTACTGATACACACCCCTTATGTGTATCTCTTAGTCGTGTACAGTTCTTCTTTCTTTTTCTTTCACTTTTTCTATTTTTATTATTTATTATTTTTTAATTTTTTTATTGTTTGGGGTTCACTGAGGGTACAAAGAATTAGGTTACACTGATTGCATGTGTTAGGTAAAGTCCCTCTTATAATTGTGTTTTTCTTTCTAATGGGAAGACTCCAGCTGCTCAGCACGGGATCAGGTGATTCCTTTGGAGGAAGCCACTAGCTCTTTGTTCTGAACTTCCATTCTTAGAAGGTCCTGAAGTTCTGTGAAATTGTGTCTTCCCTGAAGTTTTCTTTCTCCCTCTCTCTCACCCATCTCTCCTGCTACTCCCTGGGCAGGAATGTCCAACCTGTGCCCCATGGGCCACATGTGGATTATGTGAGGACTGCTTTGCATATCTCTGGTGTCAGATATTATAGAAATTATGCACAGACCTTTTTTTTGCTCATCAGCTTTTGTTAGTTTTATTTATTGACTATGTGGATGAAGACAACTCTCTGCTCTTCCAGTGCTGACAGAGAAGAATAAAGGTTGGACACCCCTGAGAGTTTGACATGCCATCTCCTAGCTCCTCTGAGCAGAGACTATTAGTCTTTTTCTTCATTTTTGAACCTTCCAATCCTCATTTATATCCAGGATCTCAGAGTGGTCTCTGGTGTAAAATAAGTAGCTGATGGCTACAAGGCGTTGATTTGTACACCAAGGACTTTTTACTGAAAATAAAAAGAAAATAGGTGAACACAGAACACCCCTGTTTTCTGATCCTTTGTATTAATTGGCATCTTGAACATTATTAGCACTTAATATGTTATTTTAATCATCATTCCTTTTTTTGGTTATCATTTCACTTTCTGACAGATTTAATTTAGTTTCCTTCACCAGGTAGTCAGCTGGCGGGGGAATTTGAGATTTTCTGCAGGATTTTGACTTAGTGATAAGTGATGTGTTTAATTTAACACGCTTTTGTTGAGCGCAGAGCACTGTGCCGAGGGAGGCAGGGCATGCAGAGATATCTGAGACGTGGGCCGTGCGTGCTGGGGCCTTAATATTAGTGGTCCTGCTACAGAGCTGAATGCTATAGTGTAAACGCAGATCATGCAATGGGAGAAATGTTGAATTAATCAATATTAGTCATTAATCCTAGCTGGGGGATTGGGAAAGGCTGGGAGAGGGGCAGGGTGGAGCTGAATGAAAGAGAAGAGGTCAGGCTCTCAAGGACAGATGTGGTAGGGAAGACCATCTCTGGAGGGAGTCACAGGGATACTGCTCCCCTTTGTCGAACAGCCACCTCGAGTTACTCTCGTCATTTGTATGCCTTTCAGAGTAGATAAATGTCATTTATATCTGTTTTTTTTTAGAGCACTGCTTGCAAACCATATGCAATTCCAAATGTGCTTTTCTATCTTCATGCTAATGCTATCATGTTATCATATTGCTGTAATGTTGATGTCTTTTTCCTAGACGCAGGTTCCTATACATCGTCAATCTAGATGCCCCCTTTGAAGGTCACCGAAAGATCTCTCGCCAGAGCAAATGGGACATTGGAGCCGTGCAGTGGAATCCTCATGACAGCTTTGCACACTATTTTGCAGCCTCGGTGAGTTCATTTAAGGAGTACAGGGAAATGCTTTTAAAGGTGTCATCTGGGGTTGGCAGTTCCATGTCCTACAGAGAGAAGAGAATGCAATCCTATTGCTCAGTCAGAAGAGAGGTTTGGATGGTTCTTTCCGACAGAGGCAAGTTACACATTAAGTATAGGTGGAAATGTTTGCTGGTCCCACTGGTGTCAGGCCTTGTATTTCTAGGCACTGAGTCCACATAGTGAAAAGGAAATAGGTTGATGCCTCTATTTATGTGTGTGGTGAGAACCTGTTTTCATCAGCAGCATAACTGGAGAGCTGGTCTGGTCTGGGTTGACCTTCATCGCTTTCAAAGGCAGCAGAAGGTTCCCTATCCAAGGAGTATGCACATGCGCCCGTGGGCCAGACACAGATTATTTGAGGACTGTTTTGCTTACCTGTGGTGTCTGATGTTGGGAAAAGTATGCGTGAGCCTTTTCTTTTACTCAGCAGTCAGCTTTTGTTAGTGTTTGTGTATTTCATGAATAGCCCAAGACTTATTCTTTTCAATGTGTAGCAGAAAAGAAAAAAGGTTGGACACCCCTGCACCCTTATACGCAAAAGAAGGGATTCTTCCTTAACTGGGACTCAGATCTGTTAGTCCCTTCAAATTTTATGTGCCAGTTTATGTGTGAATTTTCCCTGAAAAACAATGCCTAAGTATAGGTTTTCTGAGGGATTCATTTTACTCAAAATGATTCTGGGCGAGGTCAGGCATCTTTGTCTAGATGCTATTCTCCTAGAACAATTCGAGACCTAAATCTTTTGCAAAAGTGCTGGGCTGGACAGAGAGTATTTAAAGGAATCCTTCCTGTTAAGCAGAGGTGGGACCATTCTGCAGTGCTGTCTAGATCTGTTCTTGTCAGGCGCAGCTTTCTGCAGAAGGAAAGCCTCTGAGCAGAGAAGGGAGAGCAGCTCTGTCAGCTGGGGGAGACCCAGAAAGCTGCTCTTCCCCAAACAGGGTCTGCTTTAACCGTGCGTGTCTGAGACGGCCCTGATTTTCGGGACTATTCTGAAAGAGAAAGTGGGAGGCACTCTACTGCCTTTTTGTTGTTCTCTGCCTCTTTTTTTTTTTTTTTGAGACAGAGTCTCCCTTTGTCACCTTTGATAGAGTGTCATGGTGTCATAGCTCAGAGCAGCCTCAAACTCCTGGGCTCAAGCCATCCTCTTGCTTCAGCCTCTCAAATAGCTGGGACTACAGACACCTGCCACACATCTGGCTATTTTTAGAGATGAGGTTTCCCTCTTGCTCGGGCTGGTCTCAAATTCCTGAGCTCAAGCTGTCTACCCACCTCAGCCTCCCAGAGTGCTGGGATTATAGGCCTTCTCTGCCTCTTAGCTGGGGTTAGAAAAGAGTTGTTTTTATCGGCTTATACTCTTGGGCCCTTCAGCTCTCCTGTCACTCTGTGGCCCTGATTGCTTAGTCCAAATTTTCCCAACCTTGGCGTGTTAGACCAGGTAATTCTTTCCGGTAGGGATTATCCTGTACATTGAAGGGTGTTTAGCAACATCCCTGGCCTGTACCTACTACATCCCAGTGATATCTTCCTGCCATCTTGTTGTGACAACCAAAACTATCTCTAGACATCATCACATGTCTCAGCAAGTAAAATTGCCACAGATTGGGAACCAGGGATACAGACTGACTACTGAGTACTTGGCCTGAGTGGATTAACACTCCATTTGTTCAGGAGTGGGAAGGAAGAAGACAGCCTTTTTGGTCTGTTTTTTTGTTTTTTGACAATCTTTTTTTTTTTTTAAAGAGACAGGGTCTTGCACTGTCATCCACGCTGGAGTATAGTACATGATAGATCACTGTTACCTCAAACTCCTGGGCTCAAGCCATCCCCTGCCTCAGCGTCTCGAGTAGCAGGAACTGCAGGCATGCATCCAAAAACTTTTTGTAGAGATGGGGTCTTGCTTGTTTCCCAAGTTGGTCTTAAGCCATACTGCTGCTTCAGTTTCCCAAAGTGCTGACTTTACAGATGTGACCCACCATGCCTGGCCCAGTTAATCATTTTACTTTTTCTTTTTAATCTCCTATCCTTGGATATCAAGCAGTTAATCATTCTAACGTGAACAGTGCATCATCCCTTACTACTTTCACTATGTTGTGTGACTCCCACATTTCCATCACTCCACAGTAAACCCCCCTGCCTATTAAGCAATTTCTTCCCATTCCCCCCTCCACAGCCCCTGGCAGTCTCCCATCTGTGTGCTCTATGGATTTACCTATTCTGGATCTTTCATATAAATGAGATAATATAACATGTTGCCTTTGGCTCTGGCTTCTTATTTTGGAGTTCCTCCACATTGCAGCAGCTATCAGAGCGTCATTGCTTTTGTGACTGAATAATATTCCATTGTGTGTCTATACTGATTTGGGACCACCTAACTTTTTCACAGTGGCTGAACTATTTTATATTTCCGTCAGCAATGTGCAAGGTTCTAGTTTTTCCATATTCTTACCACATTTATTATTTTGTTTTTTCTTTTAAATTATAGCCATCCTAGTGCATGTGAAATGCTATCTTTTTTTTGGAGACAGAGTCTCATTATGTTGCCCTTAGTAGAGTGCCGTGGCATCACAACTCACAGCAACCTCCAACTCCTGGGCTTAGGCGATTCTCTTGCCTCACCCTCCCAAGTAGCTGGGACTATAGGCACCCACCACAACACTTGGTTATATTTTTTGTTGTTGCAGTTGTCATTTCTTTTTCTTTTTTGAGACAGAGTCTCACTTTATTGCCCTCAGTAGACTGCCTTGGTGTCACAGCTCACAGCAACCTCCAACTCCTGGTCTTAGGCAATTCTCTTGCCTCACCCTCCCAAGTAGCTGGGACTATAGGTGCCCGCCACAATGCCTGGCTATTTTTTTGTTGTAGTTTGGCGGGGGGCCAGGTTCAAACTCACCACCCTTGGTATATGGGGCCAGTGCCCTACCCACTGAGCCACAGCCACCCCCCTGCAGTTGTCATTGTTTAACTGGTCCAGGCTATGTTCAAACCCACCAGCCTCAGTGTATGTGGCTGGCACCATACCCACTGGGCATAGGCACCACCTTGAAATGTATCTTATTGTAAATTTTTTATTTACATTTCCCTTATGGCAAGTGATGTTGAACATCTTTTTATTGCTTCTGTTGACAATTTGTATGTCATTTTATGTCTATGCAAGTCCTTTGTACTTCTTTGAATTGGATTGTTTGCATTTTTGCTATTGAGTTGTAAGAGTTCTTTGTATACTCAGATACTAGACCAGATCAGGTACAAATGATTTGTAAATATTTTCTCCTGTTCTGTTGGCTTGTCTTTTTACTTCTTGACAATGTTGTTTGCTCCCCAGAAGTTTTCATTTTGATGACGTTTAATTTATCTGTTTTTTTTCTTAAGTTGGTCTTGGTTGGAAGGCAATCTTTTGAGACCAGAGCTTTAGAATTAGGCAAATCTGAGATCAAGACCTAGTTTTAACATTCACTGTTTCTTCTTGAGCCAGCCACTCAGCTTTCTGAGCTGTGGGGGCTCATCTATAACATGGGTGATGACACCCAGTAGGCAGGATGGTGGGAAAGGTCAGAGGTCAAATTCATTAAGGCACCTACTACGTAGACTAACATTAGCAGATCCTCTGGAGTGATAGGGAATATCATTATAAGTTGAAGGGGCTTTTCTTTGTATTCCTTTTCCCATTGAAAGCTATTTTGAATCCTAACCTTTTCATAAGAACCTTACCTATTTAGACGTAGAAACTGGCATTTCAGGATACAAATCTCAGCACGTACATCTGACTGTCCTTGAGCTAAAATGAAAGTCAATCTGTCTTATACATATCAGTTCGGAAATTATTAAATGGCCCACCATTGTTCTTGTTCGGTGTGTTTCATGAACTCATGATATTTAGAGAGCCTTTGCTGTTTTGTTGTTTCTAAGTGCAAAAATTCTTTGATGGAGGCTCTTGTTTTTCCCTTTTTTCCTATTGTAGTTGTGGTTTCCCCTGATTCATTTTCCCTGGGTTTTTTTTTTTTTTTCAGCTTAACCCTTTAAGAAATCTGACATAGGCATATTTCAAGGAATCTTATTTAGTTTAGCCTTCTAGGTCCCCCTCTGGGTGGTGATTCTCTTTTCTTTCTTATGTACCTGTGCTCCTGAAGTATGTTAGATGGACTTTGGGCATTGGATAGTGGAAAAGGTGAACTAAAAATCACGTGCACTGTGTCAGCAGTTGGAGAGATGAGTGTGACCCTTGGGGATGGGGAGGTTCCACTAGGGATTGGGACGTCCCTGGCTCCCTGGCGCTTACACAAACAGTATGTTCTCGGGAGTGCATCTGTACCTTCTGTTCAGCTGTGTTCGAGGTGAGTTCCTTTTAAGAGAGCACTTCTTTTTCACTTTGGGATTCACAACCCTACCTCCTGTGGTTAGTTCACACCAGTGTTAATTTTAGTTATTGTTAAATAAGTTAAAATAAGTATAGCTTTTTTCCAAAGTTCAATCTGAAGGCTCTGCCATGCAGATCAGCTTCATATGGACTTCCGTAGGACTTCCTCTTCTTTGCAGATCCAGTGAAGTGTGTATTCCCATGTGCACATTGTGCTACCCACTGCCTCCTCCCCTTGTCTCTTTTCAGAGTAACCAACGGGTCGACCTTTATAAATGGAAAGACGGCAGTGGGGAAGTGGGCACAACCTTGCAAGGCCATACTCGTGTAATCAGGTAGGCCCCGACCCCACCCAGCTCCTGGGCCTGTCTGGCTTCGTGACAGTCCCTTGGGGCATGAAGTATTGATGTTGTTCTCCTCATGTGGCTTGAGCCTTTGGGTGCATTGGCCCTGGGAGGCCAACAGGTCCTTAGTGTTCACTGGTGAGGAACACAATGAAGAATGGTCATTGTGCAGCTGTTGACCCCAGTCCAGGAGACACTTGGACAGACACAGCCTGGTCCAGAGTAGAGGTTTAAAGCTGGCTTTTGCCACAGTAGGTAGACGAAGTTCTACAGCAGAGTCCTGGTCCTGATCAGCAGTGCCCCGGGCACTTGGAGACACGAGGAAGCAGCCCTGTGCCCTTCCCCCGCAGCAGTGGGTTACACACAGAACTCTTGCGTCACAGTTGTTACCCAAATGCACACCCACAAGGACTCCTGCTCAGCCCTTCCAATTTGCTTCCAAAGTGTTCCTTGATCCCCTGTTTCTCTGGGTCACTGTTTCTGGGGTGGGAAAAATTTTTCTGGGGAGTAGCAGCAGAGAGGGCAGGGAGTGAAGCTGACCTGGAGGGGATGGGAAAGGTGACACACCCAGGCCTGTGCAAGGTGTTCCTTGGAGTTGCGGCCTGTCTAGGAACAAGAGCACGAGTGGGACACCAAGGACCTGCCGCCCTCCTCAAGAGCTGCAGGGTGACAGGGCAGTTTGGTGCTGCTTAACAGAGGCTGGGTTTACCAAGGTACCTGTGGTGGAGTCTGATTTAGAAAGTGGTAACTCAGAGATTGTGTCTATTGTTTGTCTATTTATTCAGAGAGAGATTGTTTTAAGTTGAAATGCTTCCGTGTCTTCTTTGGGAGTAGGAGGTAGTATAGCTGGTTACTACAGGGCAAAGGGCCTGAGAGCCTCCGTCCAGATTCAATTAACTCTTGTTCATTCCCAAAGAACATTGAAGATTCCCAGTGAGAATCTTTAGTGGGAATTCTCACTGGGGATCTTCAATGGGAAGATTCAGTGAGGTCCTAAAGCTACTAGAAACTAGATTTATCAGTATGTTGGTAGTAGAATCTGAGTTTTTTCTTTTCTCTGTTGTTCTGTGTATTCCTTGTGTCCCAGCGACTTGGATTGGGCTGTGTTCGAGCCAGATCTCCTGGTTACCAGCTCTGTGGACACCTACATCTACATATGGGATATCAAGTAAGAAAAATCAAGAGTTATAACACTCGGCTGTGGGATGATCTGAGAAGTTAATTTTAGAGATCAAGTATCTTAGTTTGGTTTTCCCTAGATGTAGACCCTGAGACAAAGATTTGAATGTAAATATATCATTTAGGAGTGAAAGAAATGGTGAGATAGAGAAGAGAGGCGGGGCTTGGTGCCTGTGGCTCAAGTGGCTAAGGCGCCAGCCATGTACACCCAAGGTGGTGGGTTCGAATCCAGCCTGGGCCCACCAAACAATAATGATGGCTGCAACCAAAAAATCGCCAGGCATTGTGGCAGGCGCCTGTGGTTGCAGCTACTCGGAGGCTGAGACAGGAGACTCGCTTGAGCCCAGGAGTTGGAGGTTGCTGTAAGCTGTGATGCCATGGCACTCTACCCAGGGGGACAGCTGGAGGCTCCTGTGTCAAAAAAAAAGAAAAAAAAGAAAGAAAGAAAAAGGGGAAATCAAACTGTCCCTTTAAAAAAAGAGAAGAGAGGCGGGATTAAGATCCCCCAAATCAAGGGAGCATTATCCACCTGGTACGATGAACAGATTGGGTGTAATCTTAATGGGGAACGCTCGGCACTAGTGTGAAACTCCCCCTCACAGGTGTCCTACCCACGGGTAAGGAAGTGGAGTACTTTGCTGTCAGTCATTGATGGAGTCTGCCCCCAGGGGTCTTAATTTCCCTGGCACTTAAGGCCTGTCACAAAGGTTTGCAAAGACATCTGGGCTGATGTCTGCAGCCCAGAAATTCCCTTTGGCAAAGAAGCACAGGAGCTGGCATTTGGAAGATGAGCTGGAGTTTACTGAGGTGGCAGGTGATGGCAAGGGATTTTGACGGCACAGATACACACCTGCCACAGCACCACCTCTGCTCAGGTGTCTACTTGCTCCGTATCTGAAAAAGGGCCCGACTGACCCCTTTGTATGGTTGTGGTCCGTGGAGAAAGGAGTACAGGAGCACCAGCCCAGGGCCTAGCCCAGCCAGCATAAGGCCTTAAATGTCTATGCCTTCTCCCAGTGGAGAACAGAGTTCCCTTTAGAGTGAGAGAGGCCTGGTCTGTGGGGAGAGGGTTTCTCTGCTTCCCTCAGGGTGGTGGCTTTGTGACATTTTCACTGAAAGGTAGGACATTAGGGACAAGACCAGGTATTGGGGTGGAACAGACCAGACAGACCAGTGAGAGAGGTCTGTTTTGGGGGTAAAGATGTGTCCAGCTGACTCAACCCAGCATTGCAGGTATTACCGATTGCCACTTTAGAGGTGATCGGACAGAGGGGAGAGCACAAAATCTAGGGGAAGTGAAAGAGGAATCCTCTTAAGCAGGGAGATATGCAGCAAGATTAGGGCGTATCCCTCATTTACACAGAAAAATTTTTTCATGATTTGGAGACACTGAATCCTCAGATTTCCTAAACAGTAAACTGATGCCCTCGATTTGCCTCTCTGTCTTCCTGAGCCCCAGGGTGCTGCCCAGTTCTGTAGTTTTACCATTTGGTGGAGAAGTTGCCCCTCTGACTTTGTAGTAAACAGTAGAGCCTCACTGTCTCAGAGTAGTTTTTTTTTAAATTGTGATAAAGGACATAAAATGTGAAATTTATC